GTTTCTACCGGACTGCTTTAGTCCATAAAGACTTTTCTTCAGAAGACAAACTAAAGGTTTTTCTTCTTCATCAAACTTCTCGAACCCTTCAGGTTGCATTCATAAGAGTATCTTCATCTAGTTTGTGGCATTCAAGTATGCAGTTTTAATGTCTAACTGTCTCAACTCATACCTATTTTGAACTGCTAAGCTCAGGACTATTCTTATGGTCGACATCTTGGTTGAAGGCGAATACGTTTCCTTCAAATTGGCTAAAAATTTTACCAACAAACCTAGCCTTAGACCCTAGAAACTTCACCATTAGGTCCGTACTTCTAAGCTAACTGCCTCTCCTCGATTTCTTTTTTTTCTGTTGAAACTTTTGTGCGTATCAAGGGAATCCTAGCAATTAATGAGAATTTTTCCAGATAAGATCATAGGACGTTGCACGTTCAATCAGAACGTTCACTTGGGCGTTTCCCATTAAAAACGAGCTGTCTCGGTGCCGATGCCGCTTTCGATAGCAAAAGGAAGGCATAGCTTTAGTCGATCATGCAAAAAGACCACTGCACGTCAAAAAAGAACAAGCTAAAAAAGATCATCCGACAATAAAGCAGCTGGAAGATACCAGAAACTTGTTGCGTCCTCGATAACGCAAATATTTTACGTGTCGCACGATAAACTGGAGTCATTGAGCAACAGCGGAACATTTTATTCCAACCTTGAAACGTTAACTTCGAGTTTTAATTTAGATGTTGTCAAAAGAAAGACGAAGTTGCCACATTAGACGAAGTTGCTACACTAGCGGTTGTGTTTGGGTCTTTTTCGCTTATTGAACTGTTCAAGCAAAACAGAGGAGTCGCTTTCTGAGGTTTATTTGCTTTGCGAGTCGTCGCAGCTCTTGATTCCACAGAACATGCAAAGCAAACCGAACATCATGTCGAAAGCTGCAGAGGGTTGTGAAGAAGGTCAAAACTGCCTCTGAGGCAAGTCGTGTCCAACACGAGATTGCAGCCGGTGCTCGTGAACAACTGGGAGTTTTCAAAAGACACCTGACTGGTGTGCTCCAGAAGAAAATCACTGATACCGACAAGAAGTTAGACAACGCTCAAAAGCTGGCCGAAGAGCTCCAGAAAACGACAGCTAATCTGGAACTAGATAAAACAGCTGCTATTGAACATGCCGATGCTATATCTGCAAGTGTGATAAACAAAAATGTTCAGAACAGTCACTTATTTTTATTTTTCATGAGAGAGAGAATCTGAAAATGGTAGGTCATTTTTTCTCCGCTCCACAAACCACAAGCAAATTAAACTTTCTATCTCTCCCTCAATCCTCCTAACAAACAAGCACTTATCAAAAACTGAATTTTAAAGCATAACTCTTCAAGATTCCTTTTAGATGCCTTTTAGAGTCCTATGCCAGTTTCTACCGGACTGCTTTAGTCCATAAAGACTTTTCTTCAGAAGACAAACTAAAGGTTTTTCTTCTTCATCAAACTTCTCGAACCCTTCAGGTTGCATTCATAAGAGTATCTTCATCTAGTTTGTGGCATTCAAGTATGCAGTTTTAATGTCTAACTGTCTCAACTCATACCTATTTTGAACTGCTAAGCTCAGGACTATTCTTATGGTCGACATCTTGGTTGAAGGCGAATACGTTTCCTTCAAATTGGCTAAAAATTTTACCAACAAACCTAGCCTTAGACCCTAGAAACTTCACCATTAGGTCCGTACTTCTAAGCTAACTGCCTCTCCTCGATTTCTTTTTTTTTCTGTTGAAACTTTTGTGCGTATCAAGGGAATCCTAGCAATTAATGAGAATTTTTCCAGATAAGATCATAGGACGTTGCACGTTCAATCAGAACGTTCACTTGGGCGTTTCCCATTAAAAACGAGCTGTCTCGGTGCCGATGCCGCTTTCGATAGCAAAAGGAAGGCATAGCTTTAGTCGATCATGCAAAAAGACCACTGCACGTCAAAAAAGAACAAGCTAAAAAAGATCATCCGACAATAAAGCAGCTGGAAGATACCAGAAACTTCTTGCGTCCTCGATAACGCAAATATTTTACGTGTTGCACGATAAACTGGAGTCATTGAGCAACAGCGGAACATTTTATTCCAACCTTGAAACGTTAACTTCGAGTTTTAATTTAGATGTTGTCAAAAGAAAGACGAAGTTGCCACATTAGACGAAGTTGCTACACTAGCGGTTGTGTTTGGGTCTTTTTCGCTTATTGAACTGTTCAAGCAAAACAGAGGAATCGCTTTCTGAGGTTTATTTGCTTAGCGAGTCGTCGCAGCTCTTGATTCCACAGAACATGCAAAGCAAACCGAACATCATGTCGAAAGCTGCAGAGGGTTGTGAAGAAGGTCAAAATTGCCTCTGAGGCAAGTCGTGTCCAACACGAGATTGCAGCCGGTGCTCGTGAACAACTGGGAGTGTTCAAAAGACGCACGACTGGTGTGCTCCAGAAGAAAATCACTGATACCGACAAGAAGTTGGAAAAAGCTCAAAAGCTGGCCGAAGAGCTCCAGAAAACGACAGCTAATCTGGAACTAGAGAAAACAGCTGCTATTGAACATGCCGATGCTATATCTGCAAGTGTGATAAACAAAAATGTTCAGAACAGTCACTTATTTTTATTTTTCATGAGAGAGAGAATCTGAAAATGGTAGGTCATTTTTTCTCTGACCGATTTGAGCAGCCCGTTGGCACCGATAAAAATTACTGCAACTCTTAGCAACCAAGTCAAATGTGCAGGAAATACATGTCATTCGTTCGCTTCAAATAAGACAGAAAAGTATGTTATAAATAAACGATTTCGTTTATTCTGAGAGCAAAATTGTTTACAGGGAAAAAGTCAGGCACCGCGTTGCAACACCCTTGCTTATTGCCAAAGTAAATAAATTGGTTACTCCAACAAATGTCTCGCCTCCCAATCTATGTGAAAAGAAATGAACTGCATTGATGCCCCTCGCAGAGGTCGAAAACTGCCATCGAAAATGTCTCTGTCTTAGACTTTCGGGACTAACATGCACTAATTAAGAGAAGAACGGCGCACAAATGTTTTTGAAAATATGAGCATTTTTACTAGAATAGATAACAAAATCAATTTTATGGCTTAAACAAAAACTGTAAAACTCCCATTCTCAATAATGCTATTATAACAATGAAAAATATATATGGGCGTAGAGCTCTTTGAATCTCCAAGAAAAATTTATGACTGACATTGTTTGGATCAAATTAACTCAATTTGGGAAAACTTGATCATTATCACCGATTTCTTAAGTCCCAACGGAATAAAACTCTAAATCGGTGATAACGGGATTTGTTTTGTTTTAACTTTAATTTGACAAAATCGCATGTCAAATTTTTACATATACGTGAGCGATGCCTTGACCATGATGATTATGAGACTAATACTTCCAAAAATGTGTTTCAGCAACCTCATCAATTTGAAAATCCTTTCGCCGTTCAACACTTGCCTAATTATTAGGTGCTTTTTTGAATCAACCTAATGTAAGTATGTATACAAAACATTAAACACAGCGGCGAAGCTGCCCTTCGTAAACTGCAAAAACTAGTGCTAACAGCCGAAAACCAAGTGAAATAAGGAAACTTTTGCTATGTGCCGTAATCGAAGCTTTAACCTGAATACTAGGTGCATTAGGAGCATCGGGTAGACAGAAACTTCATAGGCCGTCGAATAAAGTAAAAAAGATGAGCCTAATATGCAACACACGAGATTAGCCGGTCTTTCCATCGGTATTTGTGAAAACAAAGGTGCCACCAAAAATAGCAACTGTTTAAGCTAAAATAAGTAGGAAGAGTAAAAAATTTTGAGAAAAGCAAATTTCCCCAGATATCATTTCTGTTACAAATAGTTAGAGCCGCCGCTTCTGGAGGAATCATTATCAAACCGGTTCTTTCAGTTGATTTTTTCATTTCAGTTTGATTGTGTATTTTAAGAAAAATCAAAAAGTTTAAAAAACGGTTAGAAGTTCTAGTAAACGGTCAAAAAGATTTCCAAAATCCATGACTTTTTCCAGCAAAGAGATTGTGGCCGCTTAAACAAAGAAGATTCCCAAAAACGGGTTTCTCGATTAAACAACCTGAGAATGTGCACGGTAGTTTTCGCGTAAAGTCAAAATGTTAGCAAAAAACTGTCGAAGCTTCAAAACTTCGACTTGTTTAAAGGCCGTAACATTTTTCTGATACAAACTGAGCGTAGCTAGTTATAAAGAGAGGCTTTCAGTAAACCGTTGTTTTGATTAAATCGCTGATACCAGATTTGGCAGGATAGTTAGCAAAAAAAAATTAAAAATTTTAGAAACGGTCAACCAATCAAAAACTAGGGACCCAGTTAAAGCTGGTGATACCTGTTTAATAATTTTTGAACGTCTTAATTGTTTTTCCATTAAGACAGGGAGATTTTTGAAGTGGAATTTTCCCAAAGACAATTTAATTATAGCTTATGCACGGCGGCTTCTTACAATCTGCTTTCTCGATTGATATAAGATTCGGCCGAATAGTTTTCTTAAACCATAAAAAATCATAAACCCAATCCCGTACATTTTCATTATATGTTTTTATCAAAAAAAAAATTTCTAGTTAAACATGCCAAGCAAAACATTTGAATTTTAAATAAGCAACGGAACAAAACTTATGGAGCGGAAACAAACCTGACAATATTTGAGGAGACATCAGTTGAACCTCAAAAAAATTAAATTTATTAAGAAATTTTTTTACTGTTTCAAGTCCCCCTGAATCTACAAGGCAACGGTGTTACCTCCAGGCCAAGTGCAAAGGAACTTGGAAATTAAGATTCAATAATAAAGCAAAATGAAAGTTAGTAAAAAAAAAGTTGTAAACGGGGAATACAGTTCCCGACTACAAGACTTGCTTTCGCAAGTTTAAAAATATTGCTTTTTTCAACTTCCGGTACTACTCAAAGCAGGATCAACCGTGAGAGGAGGCGGATTTGATCCATTCTGCCGTAGCCGCTCCTAACTTGGAGATAGATTAATTCTCTTTACAAATTAAGGTCTATTGAAGAAACTTGCTGACATACAATGGCTTAGCACCAAGTATTAACAATTAAAGCAAATCACTTCTCAATTAGAATTCGATTCTTTGTGGCTACACGAAATTGTAGAACAATTTGCCAAACATCACAAAACTATGTATTCTAACTACTTTAAAATGTAATTGCAAACTACTAGCCACAACCGGTGCTGCCTAAATCGATCAAAGTATCACAAAACACGAGGACTGGTTTTTGTGCATCAAATTAACATTATGAGTTATTAATTAATAGTTGGATGATAGTTCATCAGGGTCCGAATTTAGATTATTTAAGTTAAGTTCGATTCATAGAGGCGTCGAGTTTTGCAGTTCTAATGGGTTACTTGTTTTGGATATTCTCACAACATCTCCTGCTCCATGTCCGTTTGTCTGATATCGAGATGACCTGTTAGTCTGGGTCGGTGTTTCCCTGCCTCTAGAAACGACCCCTTCGCTCGATTCTCTATTAGAGCTCGTACTTCCGTTGGTTACAGAAGAGGCACTCGTCTCATTTGCTGCTTCCGATTGGCTCAATTGATTGCTATTTGAGGTTTGACCTAGCGATGGTCTGAAAACAATACGATTGATCACTTGTTTCTTCGCGCTGGTATCGTTCGAAGCTCTGTTTTCTTACATCAGAAAAAATATATCTTTACTGCTGAACGAAAAATGTCTCGAAAACATGAAACTAAACTGATTGAAACCGAACTTGAAACTTATTGAATGACCAACTGAATGAAGAGTTCGCTTACTCCTGATATTCGAGATATTTACCCTTAACAATCTCAATAGTCGTTCAATTCGTGTCAGTAGAAATAATCTTTAGGAAATAGTTTGCAGCAGATTACTCACTTGGCCTTGTGATCCCAGGTGGTGGCGTTCTGGTTGTTCGTGACATGGTTGTTCACATGCCCCAGGAGTGTCTGGTTGTTGACTAGTAGCTTCTTGATCTTCTCGTCCTTCTTCGCTATCATCTTCATCCGCTCCTGCAACTCCACAGTCAGAGTGTCCAACTGCTCCTTCAATTCCACATTCTCCTGACTCAGTCTAAACACATTGTTGACACTTACACAGTTACACAGCGACTATTGAATGGGGGGGGGCGTAGCAATTAACACGTGTGCCTATAAGTATGCGTTTATTGCTTCAATTGGCTTTATTGCTTAAATTGGCTTTATTGCTTCAATTGGCTTCAATTAGTGAAGGGGTCGTTTCTAGAGGCAGGGAAACACCGACCCAGCTAACAGGTCATCTCGATATCAGACAATCGGACATTGAGTAAGCGTTTATTGGATCAGACGAAAAACTAATTAGCCTCAAATTTCAAATACAGTTCGACGACCACTTGATTTGTAAGGGGAGTTAAATTTTCACTTTCGACTCATTAAAAATTCGGCTGTGCGCGCTGTTCGAAATTGCAATACTGAGTAAACAAAATGTGAAATATTCGAACTGCGCTCCTTTACATCACATGGACATGCTAATAGGCTGGTCCCCATTGAATTGATAAACAGCCATTGATCGCTTCAAAGTTTCAATTCAGTCCTGAATTAAACTCATAATCAATTTGGCCACAGTAATGATCTAATATTTTTATCGCGAAAAATCTCGGAGTAATCATTAACATAGCCAACAGACTGTTGGAAAGTTTTAATAAACTTAAACCATAAAAAACAGACCTGGAAAAGAATCAATGAACGCAAAGCAACAAAAAAATGACTTCTTTTTTGTTTGAAAAACTTCAACTTTTGAATTTCAAGTAAAATCTAAATAACCCTGAAGCTCTTTGATTTTCAAGAACAATTCATGATGATAAAATTAACTCAATTTGAGAAAACTGGATCAATAAGTTTTTATTCCGCTGGGAAATCTGAAATTCAAACGCACTTCCGAAATTAGAAGTAAATCACGTTTTTCGTGACCTTTACACTTTTGCGGTTCGATGGTGGAGTTTGCATCTTTCCTTTTGATAAACATTTTTACGAAGATAATGAAATAAACTCAAAAAGAAATCAGAATTCAATCGCAAAAAAAATCAGATTTCAGCGTCAATATGTTTTCCTGAAAAAAAATAACGAACTATAAAAGTTTTCAATATGTTCATCGACTCACTTCTTTCATTAACACTTAAAAAACCTCAGTAACAAAAGTATTAGCTATTTTCTAACAATTTTTCTTTTAGATTATTTTTCTGCAAAACGTTTTTTGTCGTTACTTAAAACAAGACTAAATAAATATCAAATGTGAAAAAAATCTGAAAAGTTGTCCCGGCATCTCGGGCAGAGAAATTTCGGATATTTTCAATGCGGTTTTCTTAGCCTGCTACCGTACCTGCAGTTGTCTTCCTGTATGGCTTGATTCTTCGCCTCGGCAGACTTCCGTTCCTGTTGGGACCTCGTCTCTCGTTCCTCAAACTCTGTAAGTCTGCTCTGCAGATCCGCATTTTCAGCCGCGTACTCTGCAACCGACTTCACAGCTGGTGGTCTATTACCATACAACTGCGACCGTCTCCTTGGATTTGTGATCGACTCGGCCGCTGCTGTAGTCGAGGAGCTACTGCTGGTGGTGCTGTTTTGTGGTATGGACGAAATGGTTGCTAGGGAGTTGTTGGACGAAACGAAACCCCTGCTGCTCCCGCCACCCGAGGCGAGATCGTTCGGCAGACCCGGTACGTCGCTCGCATTTAGCGTAGAAAGGAACGATTGTTGTGAGGTATTGCAATTAGACTGAAACGAAATAACTTGCAATTCGATGAATTCGTTGTTTGATTCAGCTTTATTTTACCAGGATAAACGACCGATAAATACCTTGAGAAAGCTACCTCAGGAGTTTCATTAAACATTTTCGAGAAATATTTATACGCAAATTACTAAAGCGGCTTACAACATCGCAAAAAAGAAACAAGATTTTTTTTGATTAAAAAAATATTAGGTGTAACAACAACAATCACATATAGACTTAAAAACAGGTTAAAGTAAAAGCACATATTACATCGTCATCTCGTATCGTATGGGTGTCTTCATTTTGATTCTGGGCAGTTCTGTCGTCCACACTCTCCAAATCTTCCTGGTCCGCCACTGGAGCTCTACTCGTCGCCTTTCCCTGCTGTAGAACACCGCTGAGTCCCCTCTTGAAGGACATCGAAGGCATGAGACAGTCGGTGGTGCTCTGGGGCACAAACACATTTTCTAGCGACTCGTTTGTCAACATTTCATCTGGGGTGTCCATCGTTGTCGGACTGTCATCGTCTCCTCTGGTCACACCCGAACTACGCTGCCAGATTTCATCTTCTCCAGCTTGAAAAAAACTAACAATAAGATAAGTAAATCAGAAACAGATTTTGTATTATTTTTATCGCAAACCATGATTTCTTTTTCCACCAAATGAGGACATTCACAAAACTCAACCCTGATAGTTCTGGATTGTAAAAATTCAAAAGCGCAGAAATCATAAAAATGCTAGCCGTCACCATTGATCAATCAGAAAGCATAAATTGGCTATTATTTCACAGGGACAAAACGTGAAGCAACAAACAGACAACTCGCTGGAACCAAAAGCCATCGCCACTCATAGTGCCAACTTACACTTCGAATATACTTTACTAGTCTGTGCAATTTGTGAAATACAATCACAAGACACTCTGTCGCCCCTCGGATCGACAGACATGTTCATGGCAGCAGAGCATGATCGTGTGTGGGTTACAGGTCTGTGCATGACCGCATAATGTCCCAATAGTTCAATAGAACTGGATTTAGTGGTAACAGAGTTGGAACTTTCAGATGAGTCGTTTGAATTAACACCTGGCGATCTCTCATCGTTATCTTTGTTCAAATGTTCAGCGTTACAACAACAATTTTGATCATACTTCTGGGTGACAGTGAGATGATTATGGCCTTTAGATGAACAACTGATCATGGATGTGTTAGTGACCCCATTTATGCATGATTTAGGCCTACTATTGTGCTCTCCGTCACTGAAGTTGGGAATTTCTTCGTAGTTGGCACTATTCTCAAGGTCACAATTAGTCAGGTTATGATTCCACGTCGTGCCACAACAACAAGCGTTAGTGTTCACTCTAAAACATGGAAAAAAAAGTTAGTAAAAACAAGGCTCTTATCGCTTACTTGTATCCGTTTTTCCGTGACGTCTTTGGCGACGTTTATTGTCCGATGATTCCTGATGATTAGCTTCTGAATTGGAGTCTGCCGAAAAGCGTCTTCTTCTGTGATGTCGATGATGTTTCTTGTGGTGGTTAGAAGATGCATGAGCACTAGTGACATTGTGGTTCTTCTGGTGACGATTTGTAGGAGTGCATGTTTGATTATTTATGTCGAACTCAGACGGAAAAGAAGAGTCACTTTGCACACGGATCATATTACTTTCAACTTCGGATAATTGACTAATGGCACCGTCGCTACTAAAAGCACTCAACACATTGCATATATCCAGTTGTTAACAAACTCAGTGATCTAAATTATTAGCATAGTTTCTATCCGGAAGAGCCAAATCGCTGAAAAAGTACCCTTAAAATTTCGACATTGATTAAGAATCTTACCTGACAGACTCTGTGCGTCTCAACGACTGTGGGTCCTCGTTGTTCGTGATCATAATCCGACCATTTTGGTTTTGCTTAGGGTCCGAGTTGTACACATCGTAAATGGGGTTCGCTAGGGTCATGAAATCTCCGTGACTGGACGTCTGCCTCTGTTCCGTATTGCCGCCTCCTGTAGGAGTGTGTGATCTGAAGTTGCGTGACTCGGGAATTATTTGGACAGGTACTGTGCTAGGCGACTTCGCCGTAGGGGTATTTCCGCCCAAGCCCTCGTCTCTGGATCCTCTCGTATCGTTTATAGTCTCACTGTTCGCATATTGAACTGACATTGCGAGCGATGCGACTTCTGAAGTCGGCGTTCTGTTTGCCGATCTTGAAACTGCCTTAAACGAAGGCTCTATACTTGCTGTAGGTGCCTGTCCCGACATGTTGTAGTGTTGGTCGGCTGCGTCGTAAAGGCCTCCACTGGGCGATTGAGCTTTACCTGGCGTCATTTGCTGGGACTTGAAATTACTTAATGAACTAATTCCGAGTCTCGACTTTGGTGGCACCTGATTCTGCTGTTGCTGCATTCGCTGCTGCTGCCTCGACTGATCACTGTTCGAATTACTGTGGAGGTTAATTGTACTGTTTGATTGTGACGGATTGAGTCTGACTCGCTGGGCTTGTTCTGGCATCGCAGGCTGAAAAGGACTTGTTGGTTTTGCAATCTGGTGATCCGAGGACACCGGAGTTAAATTGGACGAGGCTGACGAAGACACTGATCCCTTTTTGGGACTGTTATGACTCTGTTTTCTGTTACTCATCTTTACTACGTCCATGTTTTCGTAGTTTTCTTCCCCACCACCGACGCCGCCGCAATCACCAGGAGCGGGTGGAGGGTAGTTTGGGGGAGGGGGCATCGAGAAGCCTGGAATGCCACCCATGGGACTTCGGTTTACACTAGTGTGGGAGGAGTGCTTGTTGGATCTAGGCAGAGTGCTGTTTACATGGTGACTGCTGTTATGTAACAAGACACCTGGTTGATTGTAGTAAGTGTTCTCAAGTCCCCCGCTAGCCCCCACGTGCATAACATCAGTGGGTGCTTTGATTCGCATGGGGTCACTGTTCGGATGTTGCAGCTGTTGTTGAGATGTTCCCGGGTATTGGGGATAGAGGGAGGCTGTGAACTGATTTTGATTCGGATGCTCCACTCGCATCGGCACTTGCGAATCCACAGACGACTGTTAACATATGACAATTACACAATCAAATTATAACACAACAAAATTCTAGACATAGCCAAGAAACTTGGAAAAGAGTCAATGAACAAGAAAAACCAAAAAAATTGAAAACTAATTTTGAAAATAAGCAGTACTCGAAAAAATGGTCGAAAAACCTATGAAAAGTCGAAAAAACTAGTTCTACTCTAGAAACCAAAACACAATAATACAATAGAATGCAAAAATTTACCATCTGTAAAAAAAGTAAAAATTTACCAATTTAACTTAACAGGCGTTAAAAAATCCAAAACCGTTTGAGCAGAAACCCCAGAAACGTTTGAAATGCTAACAGGCTCAAAATATCTCTATTGCAACAGAAAGGCCTAGTGGATGAATGAGTGCAGGATCCAGGGATGCAGGATTTACGGGAAAAAAGTCTAGTACCAGAGTGCAATACCCTTGCTTATCGCCAAGGGTATTTTTATTATATCATTTTATTATTTTAGAATTTCGAAGAAAAAAACATCAGATTGAAGCTCTTTGGATTTCAAGAATCTTTTACGATTGACACATTTTTATTAGACAAACCCAGTAGAGAAAACTCGATCAATAGGTGTTTTTATTCCGCTGGGAATCCCTATAACTTTCAACTAATTAGCCCAAAAAAAACGAAAGAAACAATTGGTTAGTTTGCGCCAAAACAAGCATAATTAAAGTACTTCAGTTAAAAGAACCACATTCGCTTACCTGTCTTACAGGCTGTGCAGCGAAGTGATTGTTATTATACTGCTGCTGAAGTTGCGATTGACTAGTCATTGGGTACTGGCCTCCTCCAGGGGCAGCAGATGAAACTTTGATCCCCTGGGGCGCATAGTTGGCCGGAACTGTACCCGCTAGCATGGCCTGCTGATGATACTGCATCATAGGCTGCGGCGATTGGTTCATACTCCGTAAATTTATGCTAGACGCTATATTCGGCTGAGGGAACTGCAAAGCGGCCATCTGCGACTGGGGATACAAGTAATTCTGTTGCAGAGTCTGAATTATCTGAGCCATACTGCGACCGTTCTTAGCTGGGGACGCTATACTGGCCGATGCCATGGATCCTCCTCCGGACATATTGTTGGACCTGTAACACGAATTCGGACGTAAGGAAATCAAAAGCAGTTCAATAAAAACTAACTTTCATACTGCAGTATAAAGGGCAAATGTGTTCTTATAGAAAATTTCGAGTTCGTCCAGAAAGTTTTCAATGGTTGGCAATGAAGTAGCACCTAACTAAAAACTACTTGTGATTAAAGTATCTAAAATTTTTACTGGAGTTATATCGATATATTTGTTGGTAAATTTCGAACCCAAACAATTGCTCATATCAGTGCAGAGGCATGAAAGTTCGCACTGCTCTGCAAGGTACAACAAATAAATTGTATAAAAAAATGTGATCGGAGCTATCTGTGCTACTGACACAGTAACTGAGCTTCCTAAATTGATATTGGTCCATAATTATTTGAGGCTTTAATCTTAAAGAGCCGAAAGATCACTGGAATATAGTGCAGTAGTTCAATTAACTGCTGAGCTGACCTTGAAACTGCAGTAGCGACTGAACAGGAGGATGAGGAGTTGTAGTTGTCTTTGATCTTCTGCAGCATGCGGTAGATGATTGCACATTCTTTGGCCACGTCTATCTGCTGCTTGGGCACTGCCGATGGTAGCAGCAGCTCTCTCTGTCTGTCCAAGTGCGAGGAGGGATACACGGATGTATTCTACAACACAGCAAACGCAATAACAACTTTCATTGCTATATGACTAAAGCAGTTCTTCAAACAGAGGCGAAGAGGAGCTTCGCAACAGTTGCGATGCAAAACAAAAAACACATAATAATGCAAAATAGTGAATGAAAAAAAGACAGAAGTAAAAAAAAATTCCGAAAAATTATGTCGGAAAAAAGACTTGAAAAAAGCAAATTTGATAAAAGTTGAAAATTTACAGCTACAAAATCTTCATATTTGAATCAGATGAAGTCCATAAACAGCCCTTAAAATGGAAATCATTTACCGAGCGGCAAAAAAGGCGACAAACTTTGGGTCGAAACCTGTTGAGCCGAAAACAAAAATCGTTGTCATAAAAAACTTCATTAACTTTAAAGTTTTCACGACCAATCCAAACTGAAACACAATCCCAAACGGATATACTTTTTTTTCCTAAAAATTACGCAAAATAAGTTGACTATGTCGATATAAAATAAACTGAAATGTTTGAATATTTAGAAAAAACGAAAAAAACTCAAAATCAGACATGGCGAAATTACGAATTTGTGAAGCTTAAATTGGAACAAAACCCATGCTTTAAAAAGTTAACCAATAAAAACCCACCAGATAAAAAATGGCGTTTAAAAAACCGAGAATGAGCCGACAGAAACTAAGACGAAAAACAAGAACACGAAAATATTTGAGAAATTTTTTTGAACAGATAATTACAACGTGAAACCGACTTGAACTAATTACTAGCTACGTGATACTTTTATTTGAATTTTCCAGAAATTGAGCATGTCAGATGAAAAATCCTCTAGAAGTGAAGATCCTCTAGAAGTGAAGATCCTGTGGACAAAGATGTTTACGGGAAAAAAAATCTGGTACCCGATTGCAATACCCTTGCTTATTGCAAGGGTAAAAAATGAAATTAAAAGGTGGGGGAGTGAAAAACCCAATATTCTGTACTACAGAATTTTATTTCGTAAAATCTTCGGTGCTTTAGAATTGGATCCGGGAAGAATTTGCTAAAATAGAGAGTCATTTCGAGAGGACCGATTACTTACAGTTGATATGTCGTCGAGGAATTTGCGCATGTTGGCGAACTGTTCATTCATGAAGGGATTCATGAACGTCATGTAGCTCTCCTTCTCACCCAGTCTACAAAAAAGTATCTCTTTAACAACTTTCTCCTGCGATGGCACGTATGACAGATCCCTATTGAACACTATGAACCCTTGTGAAGGACTAATTTAACGGTTAAGCATTGAGTTTAATTTAATTGTAAACGAATTTAAGCCATCATTAAAAATGCGACCTAACTCCGCATCTTGGTATCTCTTTAACCACAACCCAGCAAAATTTGAAAAGGAGGAATTGGTTACTAGTCAGAGCATTCGTATCTTTAAACTGATTAAATCATCTGTGAGTGTGGATATTCTACCATTGGGTTTGATCGACAAATTAACGAAATCATATTGTCCAGAGAAGTAGTAGTAGCCAGTAGGTCTTACGTGGAGTTGTTTGCGAGTGCCTGAAGTAGTTTGGCTACCAGTTTCAGAGTGCGTACTGTGTTGTCTGGGGGGTATGCGTTATGGAGGGCGAATAAGTTGGGGGTCATGATAGCTGGGCAGAGAAAGCGTAGGAAGATGCTGCCTGTGATGATGTTGTCCACCACCTCCCCAGTGTACTCCTTCTTCAGCCGCTCTTTGATCTTCGCAAACACCCGCTGCATCTCCCTTATACATACACACTTGTTATCGTCACGGTCACATAGTTAATTTATGGCTATAATACCTTTTCCTCACATGCCAAATTATTACCAAATGAAACCTATGTTAACAAAGTCCTATAATCTTGAAACTTGACAGGCATGGTAATAACCCATTTCCAAACACAGTTGCTTCTCATACGAAACCTTGTAAACTTAAATCAATGGTTCACCCACAAAACTGATTTTTTTCGGTGGTGAAGGAAACGGTAAAAGAGTTCAACGTTTAACTTATGCAAAACCAAAAGTTTCAATCAGCATCTATGATCAAGCCACAACCTCAATAACTTTAATTAAGACCAAAAATCTAAACATACTTTCTACTATTAATACAGCGACCAGAATTAGTCCGCTATATTGCCGCTAAGTTAGTCACTTACCATGGGAACTCACTGATAGACCTCTGGATCAGACCCCAAATCTGTTCACACAACCTCTTGAACTTCTCTTGCTGTTCCGCAATCTTTACTGGATTGGATCCAGGTAGCTTCTGGGAGTCAATCTCATAGGACTCATCCTTCCTGTAGATTTCCAAAATTGTCTCCTGTAGCGTGTTCTTGAGGTACTCGGACCCTATGAACTTCAGATAGGCCTCCATGGACTTGGTTGCGAGCGAGTTTCCTCGGAACACCATTCTTGGGTTGTTTTCTTTCTTTAGTTCGTGCTCGATCACGTCAGCGAAAAAGACGTCGATCTTGTCACAGTAGTGTAGCACTTGGATCAAAGAAGTTGAGAAGTCTTCCTAGAACATAGCCAACAGAAGGTAGGGTAAGTGTTAAGAACAAGCAAGTTTTTGACATTTTTCAACTTTCGAAGAAAAAATTATATCAGTTAAAGCTCTCTGAATTTCACGAACAATTTATGATACACTTTTTTGATAAAACTAACCCAACTTAAGATAACTGGATCAATGGGCGAGTTTTTTATTCCGCTGGGAAATCTTAAATTACTATCCACTTTCAAAAACTAAAGTCGTTCAAATTATTTAAACAGATTCACAAGCCGTTATTCACGATAGGTCCAGATAGCAGAAAATTTCCGGCGTATCAGCCCTTTAAACTCACAAAATGGACTAATTTTCACGCTAATTTCTTCAAAACTAGGCTTAATTTCCGCTCATTTCCTTCTCTAAAAAATTTCTGTCATTCGTTCTATCAGCTATGCGATTCCATTGATTCACAGCATATATTTCAATTTAAAAATCTATGTATTAAGAATCTTACTCTAAGAATTAATTTAGTCTTTTCTCAGGATTTTCTTTTCGAAAAAATGAACAAAATAATCGATCGAGAACAGGTCTCGATTACCTTTTTCTTTGTTGTGAGTACGCCATGGATAGTTGAATTTTTGACAGCGTGAAATTTAATCAAAAAATCTCAATGTAAGTTTTGGTCAAATGCAATTTACACTGCTTAAATCTTATACTTAAATTGTGTGGGATGTAATAAATATGATATGTGAGTCAAATTAGCAGCCCAACAACATTTACGACAGAATAACAACTGGATTAGCTCAAAAATATAAGAACATAGCCAACAGACAGTTAGAAAAGATTCAATGAACGCAAGGAAACAGAAAAAGCTGACTGACGCTAGGCCTCCTATCTGATTGTCGCTGAAACAGAGATGCAGGTTTCAAGGTCAGTTTGACACAGGAAACTTTAGACTCTCCAATAAAAACACTTACGGTTCCACAACTTTATTTAGGACACTTGTTGTTTGTGAAAATTTTGCACAAGTTTTCTTTAGTTCAGGCTGAATCATTCTTTCTATGTATATAACTGAATGTTATTTCAGTAACCTTCCTGATACGGTTAATATACGTCAACAGTTCGAATCCTTTTGGAATTTTTCGACAAGTCAATCAATGCTTTTTGCCTTCATGGTTTGCATCCGTTTTTAGCGTTTTTTTAATCTATCCTATCTTTTTCAAAGCCGGATTTTTGATTAAAACTATTTTTTAATGTTTCACTCAATAATTGCATCTGAATTGACGTTTAATTTTCTTGTTAAAAAAATCGGTTTTTTGACAGTTGCCGAGATTTCGTCATCTATTAGCTGCCATCTATTCTGGGTCTATAGCCAATGTTTTACATACGATACAATTCCAGCAGAAAATTATGACTTAGTTTTTGCACACTTTGCATCTGTTCATTGATTTTATCTGATTATAAGTGGTTATTCTGTAGTGATTGTTTTATTTTGTGATTTGTGTTAAAACTGAATCCAATTTTTTATCAAAAAAAAACAAACAAATCAATAAAAATTGAAGGAAAAAACTGTTCGACCACATTATAACTATTGGAAGCAAACGTAAACCTTTTTCTGCACGAAGCCTTTTCATAATGATTTATGGAAAACTAAATTCATTTTTCTCTTTATTCTGTACCTTCTCCTTAAGCAGGATGGCCTCTTCCACCACTCTGTAGAGGAGGAGTGAGTCATCTCGGAGGAAGTCTAGCAGTTCTCCATAGCACCTCTGGTCCAACACCCACACTGTGTGGTAGACGGCCCTCACCCTCAGTGTACAGTTGTCCTGGTCACAACTCTTCGCTCTATTATCCACGGGGTACCACGTCTCGTTCCTTAACTCATGTCATTATCATTGTCAATCCAATTCGATCACAATTCATGTCAAACTTTAAAAGATACTAATGGTATGAGATAACTACTCAATCAGGCAAGAATCTGAGTTGGGAATTCATTCAAGTCACTTCAACTTCAAGAACAACATCGACCATTTGCTATAAATTCTTGACTACTCAAAGCAGGCAAAATCCCAGCGATGATAAAAATATGTCAAAACTTATTACATCACTGAAGATTTATATCGTGTTATACATGACGTTTGGAGAAGTACATCAAACAAAAAACCAGACAAGCGGATTGAAATCGGAATAACAACATAAAAGAACGGCTTTTCAATGAAATGTATTTGCAGCAAAAAAATATATTTTCATGCTGATGATAATGCTAGGTTTAAATTGAGAACTAATCTCAGATATGTGGTGTTTAACATACCAGTCGCCGCTGATCTCTTTGAGTTTGAGCTCCACCGATCCCAACTGGTTCCCACCCGTCTCCTTGTCCTTCTTTTTCTTCTTCGGGTTCTCCGACTCTTTGAATATCTTGATCTGGATTTTCTCAATTGGCTTCACTTTACTCAACTGGCTGTTAATGAAATAATTTTCCTTTTAAACAGGAGCAAAAAGAAATTGAAGCTGAAAATATAAGAATATACATAAAAAATCAGAAATTAATATACCGACGAATGGAGCAATTACTAAAAAACATAGCCTACAAAGAGTTGGAAAAGTGACCAATAGTTGACTTCTTTTCGGAACTTTCGAAATTCGCAAAAAATATATTCACTTTGAAGCTCTCTGGAATCAAGAATATTTTGTGCCTAACAATAATTTTTTTTAAACTAGCCCACATACTGGCTCAATAGGTAATTTTTTTTATTCCGTTGGACCCATTTTTCCCGTTTTCAGCGTAATTTCCGTTTTCTTAATTGAAGAGCGCACAATTTGCCGCACTTTTGGCAAGCTTATTTGACCTGAACTTGAAAACAAAATCAAACCGCAAAAGATCAAATTTGGCGTGAACAAAATGTACGACTTTTTTCAGGAAAAACACAGCCAACAGACAGTTGGAAAAGAGTAAATACTGGCTTGTTTTTTTTTTCGTAAAATCTCCCCTTTCGAATTTCGAAGAAAAAAATAGATGCCCTTGAAACTCTTTGGGGATCAATTGAGCAATCTCCTCCCCCCCCCCCATTCTCGCTTGGGGGGATAAAGCTCAATAGGTTCTTGAGACATGTTTATAAACACTTGAAAATAGTTTGGATGATATGAAATCATAAACAGATTCTCCAACGAATGAGGAAGGCCAAAATTTACAATATCAAAGCTCAAAAATTACAATTAAAGTGAAAAAGAATCAATAAATTTGATGCAAATAAAGCTACTTTTTTCTGTACTCAAAGGATGAAAAGTGTTTTGCACACAATATTAAGGTGCTGCGGAGAGCAATGCTTAATATCGAGATCCAAGGCTAGAGCATCAACCCTGATAATTCGCTTTCTGATGAGGCAATGGTCGCCCAAACAAAAGCTTACAAAAAAATTATAGAATCGAATTTATTTTATAAAATTTGATTTTTTTTCTTTTTCTAAATTTTTCTCGATACTCATATAAAATAAACTTCAATCGGCCAATTGATTGAGTGCTACGAACATATCAACCATCATCTTGCGTTTGCTGACGTCTTTTTGTAGCGTTTTACCGTTTTTGCGTGGGGGTGAGATAGCTCAATTGGTCATTACGGGGGGGGGGGGGGGAGATAGCTCAATTGATCCCTCTTTGGATTTCTAGAACAACTTATAATTCCTGAAAAAAAACAAGAAAAAAATCATCGCGACTACACAAGAGTCTGAACGACGTGTATCGACTCTTAAAAAAAGAAAAAAATCATCACGATCTTTTATAAGTGTCTTCAACTTTCAACTTTCGGTTTTCTGCGAAAAAAATGCCTTACAGCTGTTCGAATATCATGAAACTTTACCCTTCCGATAAGCAAGGGTTTTGCTCTCGAGTACCAGAATTTTTTGGGGCGTATATAAATTTGTTCACAGGATGACATTGGTGGAATTGGTTGTCATCTCCAAACCTGTACTTTCGTCAACAAACCGATATATTTCAGCATATATGCATTTTAAAAACCAGTTCTTTTTTTAAAATATTAAATTAACCAATTCCGATTTTTTTCTATAATTTTGTGTTTTGACTGGGGACGATGAGAACATTTTTTTCGGCTCAACGGGCGCCGGCTCAAGCATTGTCGACTTTGTTACCACATGGTAAGTTTTCTTCCAATGCTAGCTTCATAATCAATTGTCTTCGCATGCTTTCTTTGGAAATGAATTTTAATCAATGCCAATGAGAAAAAGTATCAAAAAATTTAATAGATTTATTTTTTCACCATTTCCATTTTTTCGACTTAGCTCCTTCCGTCTCATTTTCTATCGGCTATGCTATGTTTGCTATGTTTGGATAGTATCGCCAGAAGTCGTTCGAGGGCTGAATTTTTCTTCCTTTAGAGAATGAAATTGAACTGAACTGAACTTAAAAAGAAATCAAAAATCAAAACCGCTTAAAATCAAACTTGAGCGTGAACAACTTTTAGAACTTTTCCTACAAAAACGAAAATTCAGGAACATAAATGTTTTCACAAGGTTTCTTCACACTTAAACAAACAAATGCACTTCTTTTATTATTTCTAGAAACATGAACAATCAAAACTGACGCAAAAAAAAATGAAAATGCTTGCTTACTCAGGAGTGAAGTTGAAAAGCTCTCCCCAGAACAGAATATCAAGCTTGGGCTTTGCCGTAGTCTCTCCTAGCTTGACTGCGTTGACAAATATCTGGCAGAATATCTTCTGTTTATTTTTGCTAGGCGCTCCTTTCATCTCCAACACATGCATTCGTAACGAACTCGCTTCTCTTGCAGGCTGCAACAGACCTGTAACAACAACGCACAACATCAAACAAAATTCTTTCAACATAGCCAACAGACAGTTCGAAAAGAATCAATGAAAGCAAGGAAACAAAAAATTAGACATGTTTTTTGAAAAAAACTTCAAGTTTCGGATTTCAAAAAAAAATATATTTCTGGCGTTAAAGCTCTTTGAAGTTCAAGAACATTTTTTAAATAAATTACCTCAACTTGGGAAAACTGGATTGAGAAATTAGAAAATCTAGACATTAAAATCCACATTCTAGAAGTCGATTACGTTTTTCTGGACACTTTTGCAGTTCGATAGTGGAGTTAGCCCTCTTTTTCAAAAAGAAATGAACTGAACTTAGAAAGAAATCAAGTCAAACCGCAAAAAAATTCAAATTAAAGCGTGAAAGAGTCTTCACGCCGTTCATGGACTTTTAAAAACTGATTGCACCAAAACCCAGATACTCTTTAGTATACTTTCGAGTTGAATAAAACTTAACTACCACAGTCAATTTTCACAATTGAAAATGGGGGGGGGGGTTAGGTTTTAGCCTAAAACGCGACATCAGACCTTTGCTTGCCCAAAAACTGAAAACTTTGATCTTGTTTCAGGTGATTGTATTTTGAAAAGTTTTTTAAGGGAAGCAATAGCGCATTGCAGGTATTACCACTGTGGGTAGAAAAAGTTGCTACATTTACAATCTGCAGACAAGAATGCGAGGGGCAGTAATTGTTGTTTACCTGCTGCAAATTGACTTTGCTGCTGTTGATGTTGTTGTTGCATGGTTGAGGCACTTGCGTGAGTCACACTGTAAGGCATCATTGGTTGCATAATCTGCGGCTGATGTTGTTGAGGAGCAAACATCTGGTTGGTACTATTATTGTTGTTGTTTATGTTGACAGAAGATGAGAGAGATTGAATTGATGATTGGTTGGCCCCAGCTGAGGACATCGAAATCGGAGTTTGGCGTAGAGTAGCGTTGCGGTTGGCGCTGAAACAGCTTTTGTTTGAGGATGAGCTGTGGTTACTATTGTTAGAATTACTAGCACCACTAGATGTGGATACACGTTCGAATCTGGATTTGGAGCTGGATGAACTCTCCTTCGATTTAGATTTGTTGCGTTTTTTCATGTTTGTGAAATTCAAGGAACGATTGGATTGGCAGAAAATTATTGTCATAACAGACTTGAAATTAAAAGTAAGTCAAGTCAAAAAACAAACGAGTTCGTAAGTAAAACCAGTTTGACACAATCGAATTAATTCAAATCGGCGGGATCTTCTTTATTTATTTCACATTCCATTGGAGCTCTGAGGGTTTCAACTGTTTCTTAATGAAACCAAACAGTTCGCGAGATTATTAAGGAAACTTTTTTGGTGAATGTTCAAAATTAGTTTGTGGTATGGTGAAGAGAGGTTAACAATCTGCCCATGGCTTCTTGGGCACAACTAGTAAGGGTGTTTTGGATTGGGTTGGACAGCATGTGTTGGGGTAATTTAGAATAACAACTGATTATTTTGGGTTACATTGCTGGTTAAAACTGATCAAAATATAAACAATTAAGTAGTAGACATTTAGACTTCAGGTTCTCAAGTTGGTGGAACTAAAACTGCAAGATACACCACCGCAAAATTGGCTGTCAAAATACTAACTGCAGAAAAGGCAACTAATACCCTTCTTATACGGTCTTAACTTGCTAATTCAAATGCACCTCGCTACGTCTATTTGTATGATTTTTCTGCTCAAAACACACTACATTTTAGCTTTGATACCGTAGTTCCGTGCCATTACCTTATTCAAAAGCTCTCGAGTTCAATAATTTTACCCCTGTTCTTAAAAGAACTCGAAGCCTCAAGTTGCCTCAAAGAAATACGCAGTTGACAGTCGACCAATAAAAAAGCATTACATAGAGACCGTTGAACGTGCCATACAAAGATTTCTAACCGCCGTGATTAAGAATACATTCGACCGTACTTTATTTTCCTCAGTGAAGAAAAAAGTGAATCTACCCGCGGCGGGGGAAATTGGGGGCTGTTTGCGGACGCGTGAACAGACAACGCGGTCTGCTGTGCCAGTTCCCGCTGCGACAGAACGAACAAGCTTTGATTTCAGCGATATCAGGTTGTTTCCATTAAGTAGACTTGCTTGGGAAGTAATTACATGTATAACATGCATTAGGCGATAATCGAAATCATAAGAACAAAAAAACGTCTGAGCTGAAAAATAATGAAGGTAATTCATCGGGTACGGGTAGTACGACATTATACGGACTAAGTGCTGCGATATATCGATAAAAGCAACACCTTTGATTTAGGTTAGCCAACAGTAACTCAGCCTTGAAAATTTGGTAATTTAGTAAATTTTCAGTGGGAAAAAATATATATGCATTTAATACATGCAAATGGCTTTCATTTTTTCCTCCACAAGATGGCTTTCACATTTTACTCCACTGGGACAACATATCACAAATATTAGCAAAACGATTTGGGAGCCAAGGAAAGCTTCACACAAGGACTGAACCAAAAAAAGTTGACCATTCATCCTCCAAACAATTGCTTTAAAAATTTCAACCAGCTACTGAAAATTGAGATACTTGTGATGTAAAATGCGAGAGTAAAAAAGTAATTTAAAAAATCTGAGATATAAATATTCAATAATTTCCAAATTTGAAAATTTTTATCACTGTTTGGAGCAAATGATTAACCAACTAAAAATGACCAAAAATTTTGCCAATGTATGCTGAACAATAGTTGCTAACAAATCAAAGCTAACAAGTCGCGTAACTACCAACCTAAGCTATCTTATCAAATGCAGTGTTCCATCAGTCATAATTCTATCATACTACTATCAGCGGCCAACAAAAAGCTCTAGAGTAAGAAAAAGTTACTCTCATGATAAAAAGATCGAAAAAATCCAGCCAATCAAAAACTTTTAAATTCCTGTTTTCTTTAGCTTTTTCAATAGACACTTTGATTGTATCAATTAACAATCGGCCTTTCTGACATGAATGATTAACGCTCTGAGAAGATTCCAACGAATACAGTCACAAGACCCGGAGCTTGAAAACGCGTATCACAAGCAGTGAGTGATATCCAACATAACCTTTCATTTTAAAGTTGATTTAACCAAATGGTTGAAAAATGGTTTGTTAAACTAAATTAACCAATGACTAATTGGTTTGACCGATTTTGTAAATAAAAAACAGGTCATAATTAACCAATTAATCTGGGCAAATACGGTAATTTTTCAGGACTATTCAGAAGAGGCAAATATCTTCAACACGTCGCTTCCTCGAGAATGGGCACTGCAGACCCTCTGAGATGACTCCTAAGAAAGCTTAAATTATAACAGAAACTAACCTTGCAGGATTTATAGCTTGCCCTGATGCAGTTGAAACTGAGTTGCTACTATGCCTTCTATGCATTGCACTCAGTCCCATGATTGTAGCACTAGGAGCGACAACTGAACTAATTTTGTCGCTATTCTCATTAGATATATTAGTAGTGTAAGTTGCAGTTTTATTCCGAGGAGTCAGCATTTGTTTATCGTTAGTAATGGGAAACGATTCATCATCAGCCACGTAATTTTCTTCATCAACATCCGAACCTTCTAACTCGTGCCATCGCAGCTGAAGACCGGCGTTATTTGCGGTGTCTAATCTTTTCACCAAGTGTTCACGCTTCAACTTGCTCGGAGGACTGGCTAAATGAAATATAACGCCATGTGCTGACGGCGAAAACTTCACTTTATCACTAGTGACTTGAGACCCCCAGTCGTGCAAGTTACACGTGAAAGACTTCGGTCTGTTACCGTTTGAGCTTCCTGGTTTACGAAAGCGAACATTACTTATAAACAACTCCGAGTACGGGTTTTCCTCTTTCGGCGACTGGTTGTAGTACCCGTTGAACATCTCGGCAGACGCTACTTCGCTGTCGGGAGTCGCAATTAGAACTCGGTTTTCCGAGCTCACGGAATTATTCGTGAACTGGTTCTCGTAAAACGCTTCCATTTGAGGAGTGTCCAACTCATTTATGCTCTTGTATATTGGACTGTTAGATGTTGCACTGCAGCAGCTGCCCATGATTCGCCAAGCTTCAACGATTGCCAGCGAGAAGTTGCGTTTGCAACCAGTTTTCATGCAAATTTGCAAAAGATACCTTAGCAAAGCTCAAGGATAAATACTCCACAAAAATCTGGTAAAAACTTGGGGTTATGTTGAGCTCAGGGTTAAGTAAGGGTCAAAACTAAGTTGATTGATTTAATGGCTGTTTACTGGCAAACAACTCAAGTCAATATTAATCGGACAGTCGAGATACAAATATTGTTAATGATTGGTGCAGTTAGCAGGAATGGTTAGTACTTAGACAGACTGGAATAAATGGGAACTTAATTCCGACATCTCACATGTTTTTCATCACCAGAAGTCGATAAGGAAAAAGTAGCTCTGCATTTTCACGGATGATGCGTAGAATTGTTTCCAAAATGGACTCCATCATAAATTTTGAACGACTAGTGATCCTGTTCAAATTGGTATAATATAGCGAGTAGTTTGGTCGATTTTATCTGAGAAGAATCAATAGTTGAATTTAGTGTTTCGACGCTAGCATGTGGTACAATTACTGCGACCGGAGTTTCATGGATGGCAAACAACTAATAAAGGATCGATTCAAGCCACGATATTTCAATGGCCCGTAGGGTTTCAGATAACTTCAAGGTCACTCAGTAGATGTCTTTGCGAAAGCAGTTCACCATAACTTTCAATGGCCCGTAGGGTTTCAGATAACTTCAAGGTCACTCAGTAGATGTCTTTGCGAAAACAGTTCACTGACTCTACTATCATGTGAATTAATATATCACAACTTTCATATGGTAGTTTCAAAATTATGTCCTTGACAGTTGGTAATGGTAAGCAATCGCTAGATGTCGTCACAAATAACTTCATAACTCTTTATATATCGCTGCTAACTGCAGGCAATCGCTAGATTATATGATTTTTTATATTGCAGCTTGAAATGATCTTGTAGGTAGTTAATTATAATAAATAACGACAACCAAGTTTTTTTATATGCCATTTCAAAGCAATAAATTCATATTAACCAGATGACAAGCGATCAAAAAGAAACCGAATCTAAGAGACCCATAAGTCCCGTTTTTCATTCGTTGATTTAAATCCACAACACATTACGACCGAGAATCAATCAGAAAGGCTTTAATTGATATGCTCCACTTTTAATCAGCGCAATTTCACAGTAACACAACACTACAACACACAAACTACTTATGGTAAGCCCTTTGAAGTATCAATTCAAGGATAAACAATCAAATCCGTTGCTGCCTCAAACTATAACGGTACAGAAACACAAAAGAAGTCATATTGAAGTCTAGTTCTGAATTAACCATCTGCACAGTTATAACTGTATTATAAATTAACAAAATATAATATACGACGAGAAATAGGATTATTGTGGTTAAAATATCAATAGGTTCTCGTCAGTACATAAGCACAGGTTTATTATAACGGCCACTAGTCTAAACCCCTGTGATTATTTCAGGGTTGGCCGGTGATCCATATATCTTCTTCTGAAAATTGACTAAAATTTCCGGACCCATCAAAAAGTATAACACATCAAGGCCTGCAGTACCTCAGAATTGCTAACGATAACTAAGAAAAATTTCCATTCCCTTTTAACTAACCGAAATCTACCATTTCTGACAATTTAATGGCAAATTTATTCACGATTGCTTTGATAACATGGATTCTGCTAACAACGAAAAACCGTATAACATCCGTTCCACGTTGAAAACCCATTAATAAAAGCTGGAGTATCAAACTTTGGCTAAACTATTACTCAGTTCAAAAACAAAAAGTAGGGCTAATCAGCCGCACAAGGTAGATAATGAAGGAACAAAAGTAATAAAAGGTAACTTGAAAGAAACAAGATATCAGGTGAAATCGAGGAGCTCGAATGGTATTCTACACAGGGGCGAAGCAGAGCTTCTTGCCATTTGCAATACACCAGACACAGAAAAACGTCTATAAGCTAAAATTATTCCCACAAAAAATCTCACAAAAATCTAATTCAAACGAGGGCAGCCGGTTGCTGTGCATGTAGCACAGAATGATCCGACCACATTCATAAAAATACCAACAGGTTTTTTTCCTTCTTTTTCTTCAATTTAGTGCCGTTTTTGTGGGTGGTGGGATGAGAGAACTATACAAATTGTACAAAACTGGCGAAGTAGGCAAAGTTGTCAACGGCTATCTTCAAAAAATGAAAAACCAAATATGAAAATTTCAAAACATAGCCAATTGACAGTTGGAAAAGAGAAATGAACGCAAGAAAACCGAAAAAAAACTTGTTTTTTCAAAAATATTCAACTATTGAATTTCGAAGAAAAAAAAAGTTTGTTTTAAAGCTCTTTGAATTTGCATAACAATTTATGAACAATTTTTGTTAAAAATAACCCAATTTGAGAAAACTGGATCAATAGGTAAAACTTTTTTTCACTGGGAAATCTGATAATTAATTTCAATTTTCGAAATTAGAATTCGATCACGTTTTTTGTGACCTTTACATTTTTGCTGTTCGATAGTGGAGTTTGCCTTTGTTTTAGCAATAGGAATGCCTTGAACTTGATAAAAAATCACAAGTCAAATCGCGAAAAATCAAAATTGAGCGTGAACAAATTTTAAGACCTTTTCTTGAAAACAAAAAAAATCTGCAAGACCTATATAAGAGTACTCACTACGTTCATTACTCTTAAAAATGTTCGATTGTTTTTGCACAATAATGTTATAATTTTTTTCAGAAAACTTCTGCTGCCAACGAAGCGCTAAATGAAGCTTCCACACAAGTTTTCCTTTAGTACAAAATAAGTTTTTTTAGTTTAATTGACCAATTTCTTTCAATATTTATATAACGAACGTAACTCATTGGCGTTTCTCGGAGTTAGACTAAATCTTAAAAAAAACAGTTTTTCTCGATAACCGAACGTTTTAAATTTTTTTTCTAATGTCGAGTCACGACTGAAAGGGCTTTAATTTGATATATCACTCGACCCATTCCTATGTTTATTTGTGGTAACTGATTGTGTCGAAAACAAAAAAAGTTAAAAAACATCCGAATACAAAGTTCCTCCCCATTTTCAATGGCCGGAACAAAAAACTCTTTCAACAAATCAAATCCAGAAAAAAAATTGTATCTTATACAAAACTTGAAAAATCAAATACACAACCTTTAACTCGAATAATTTTACTAACGAAGTTCTAGCGATTTGTTTCCGAGAAAAAAAGCTCAAATTTAATAAATTGAAAGACATTTACGGGTACCAACAAGAAAGTAGTACCAAGCATGGGCGTTACATCTGTTGTAAATGTGCAGAAGCAACCGCTTCAACTGGAATTGATTATAAAAAAATAAAGGAACTTTGAATAGTATAGAAAATCGATCACAACTTAACGCACAGCATAAAACAAACAAGTAATATATGAGATAGGTGCCACATTTCATGAAGTTTTCAGTGTATAACAGTCAAACAAAACCTAAGAAAAGATTAAACATAAAAAAAAAACAAAAAAACAGGCAGATTTTTGCTTGTTTTTGCTAAAATAAATCTGGATTTGAATATCCAGCAAAGATACAATTTACTAGTATAAGTGCTCAAAACAAATAAAACCACAGCTATAACACAGCAACTAACAATCAAAGAAAATGAAGAAAAAAAAACGGTACAGAAGACGAAGAACAAAAATCAAAATTGCATTTACTTACATAGCTACATATTACTGATATATACCTATCTAAAACGACTTCACCTACTAAAATACAGATGCGAAGTAGCAATTCGCATAAATAAACAATAAAACAACGAATTGCCCAAACAGTCGAAAAATTTTAAGGCTGATTGTACCATCCGGTAAGCAGACACCCGGTACCATCCGGAATCGATCTCCAGACCTCCCGCTTCTTCCGAATGCCGGAATTTGACCACTACCAAGGCGGATATTAATGAAAAAGATCAAGCACGGAGTGGGAAGAAATTTAATATTCTCACAAAGCAGGTACCTATTTGATCGGACTTGCAACACGAGAAACAGCATTTAGTATTACTTATTTTAGACTCGATCAGCAGGGTTAATGTACGACCTTGACACTTATTTTTCAGGAAAGGTACAGGAAAATGTTCTTGCTTTACTACCTGATGAAGGTCAAGCGTGACCAAGGATCTTGTCCATTGAGGTCAAACGCACTACCTCCACTGGAGCCAAACTTAAAATGTGTCGACCTCGACCTGAATAGATTATCATTTCAGCTACTCTTGAAAAACTAACACGCAATAACTTCCACTCTTTATATATATTTTTTCTTTTTTATGGTTCTACTAATTTCCTGGTTATAACTCTCATATCAAAGGCCAACTTAATGAATTAAACCAAAACCAGCAAACCACTAGCTGTTAAAAAAAGACCGAAAACTGATACTGTGGCATCACCTACTGTTAGTTAAAATAGCTATAATTTAATTCTCGTACAATACAATATGTCGGTAATTGTCGCGAAGTAAAATTTAAACGGATTTTTGAAAAAATCTTAATAAAATCATTAACTGAAAGTCTCACCTGTCCAGTTTCTGTTTTTCGAGGGTGGAGCTGTGATGCATTTGTTGTAGATTGTTAGTAGAACTTGTTCTGTTCGGATGACTGGATCCGCTCATAGCAAGTGTCGAAGGAGTCCCTCCTCCTCCAATCACCACCGGCCCCATTCCATTTGGACCCCCATTCATGTGCAAGTAGTTGTCAGTAGTCAACGTCGTCAGCCTACTCCCTCCCAAAGACGACTTCAGCTGACGCAAGTTAGACTGCGAGCAGTGATTGGCTGATGAAAATATTGATGCCTCATTCTCATTGGTTGAAGTCGAAGACTGCAGAAGTATGTTCTCGTTGGAGTCCAACGCAAGTGATGGTCGATGTTGATGATTTCGCAACTTCCTTCCACTATTTCCACTTCCCTCCAAGTGATGCGAATTGAAATACTGCGAGTGACTAGAGTGAATTGGAGGGAAGTTGTTTGATTGGTTGAAATGATACTCGGCACTCGACTCTACAATTCTATCGTGAGAGGAATCTGCATTCTGATTGGATAAAACAGGCACTGCATTCTGATTGGTTGCTGGCGAGTAAACTGAGTTGAATACCAGCGATTCATGAGATCGCGAGAGCCAAGACGGTCTAAAGAAGTTTGGAAAACAACTTTCTATAAATTTCCACGAAACACCAAGTGGTTTCTTTCTAATCAGAATCTTAGCGCGGTTTTTAACACTATATTTACGAGTTGGCTTTTCGAAACTTTCAACCTCATCTAACATTTCGAGCGACGGGCTCTTGTTCTCGAAACTAGAGATCAAATCGGGGGGTTTTGAAGGATCGAAAAAACTGAAGTTTTCGAGAACACCTAATTTTCCCATTGTTAAAGGGGTAAAATCACTAGTTGAGTGAAACGATTGCAAAACTACGCGATTTTCGTCCATAACAATTAGGAGTCAAAAGGAAAAATAAACAAAATTGGCGAACGATTTGAGAAATTTACTGTTAACAAAGGCCGAGAGCAACAAGGACTTGCATGGCACAATTGCTTAAATAAACAATCGCAGTTTGCAATACAAATCTACCATTGGATCACAGTTAGTGGTAACACAACAATTGACAGCCACTTCACGGTCGATTTATATGCTGAAATTCAATTCCAGTTCAGATGACTATCATAACAAGATAAACATCCAAAGACCTTCAGGCAAACTGTGTCAGAAAGGTCGGCAAGATCAAACTGCTTACCGACCAGCAGCTGCGGAGCGTGTAATACAAGAACCAAATAAAAAATTAAAAAGACAACAACTAAAAACATGCATATAAAAAACATAAAAATAGATCAAATTATTTTAAGACACCGTCATTTTCAGTATTAGAACCAATTTTTCATAACAAGACAGGATATTTTTTTCTCAAAAGCGTTATATTAAAAGAGCACATTACAAACAGGCCCAACCGCAGAAACGTGTCAAATTTTTAAGCAAAAGAATACCTTGATATCCAGACCCAGACAGTATTTGCAATTACGCAATGCAGTAGCCAAAAATAGACATTGAATATGAGTCAAACACGCTGTTAAAAAATTGGCTTTATGCAAATGCATTATGAATTTTACTATACAATGAAACAATTGCATAAAATTAATGGGGGCTATTCTCATGCGCGAAGGACCGAATGGGCGAAAAAACTTGTAGGCCAAGGACCAAAGACAAAATTAGTCGAAAGCCAATTTTTAAAAAGAAACAATTGCCATTCAATTAAAATGAATTAAATGAATCAACATTTTGTAATGTAAAATTTGTCCCAATTTTCCGGCGGTCAATGACAAATTGAAAATTTTGCAGATTTCTGACATTTTTTTATTCGGCCAATATCAATACTCCAAACCCTGGAAATGTTTACTTTCTTTCCAAATTTTAGTTTACTGAAATCTGATTGGCTGATTTTTATTTTCGCTCATTCGGTCCTTCGCGCATGAGGGATTCCACCAAACTTCATGCTTGAAGGACCGAATGCTTGAAATTAATTTTAGCTTACTTTCCGCCAATCAGAATTGAGTATTCAAAATCTCAAAATAAATCGTGAAAATCTCAAAGTAAGAAAATAAATCCAGGCCATTAGTGTTAATATTGACCGATTAAATATAAAGCAGATGAGTTTTCAAGACTGAAAATTTCGTATGCTTTTGACCTCATTAATTTTGATAATCATCTGAATAGTATTGGGTTGTAGCCCGCAATTCGTAATTTTTTTTTTTGTTTTCCACTGATTTAATACATTTTCTGTTAATATTGACTTCGATTTTGTGAGAAAGGCATTTAGCCAGTAGAAACGCTTGGCGATTTTGATTGGTTGAAATTTTTCAAGCATTCGGTCCTTCAAGCATGAGAACCCTCCCCGGGGGGAGCTAGCTCAATAGCTACTTGAGACCTGTTTATAACCACTTGAACTACTTTTTATTGTACAAAACGGGGAGGGTTCTCATGCTTGAAGGACCGAATGCTTGAAAAATTTCAGCCAATCAAAATCGCTAAGCATTTCAATTGGCTAAATGCCTTTCTCACAAAATCGAAGTCAATATTAACAGAAAATGTTTTAAATCAGTAGAAAATAATCAAATATATTACAAATTGCGGGTTACAACCGCAAAACTATTCAGATAAACACCAAGTTTAATGAGTTCAAAATCATAAGAATTTTTAATTCTTGAAAACTCATCGGCTTATTATCTAATCGGTCAGTATTAACACTATTGGCCTGGATTTATTTTCTTACTTCGAGATTTTCACGATTTACTTTGAGATTTTGAATACTCAATTCTGATTGGCTGAAAGTAAGCTAAAATAAATTTCAAGCATTCGGTCCTTCAAGCATGAGGGACGCCACCGTACAAAACTATACGCCAGATTTTGCATTAAACGAGGAGAACAAAAAATCACATTATGAAAACTCAAAAAATAGACTAAGAGTGAAAAATGGCCACATTAGTCGCATAATCAACCGGCTTTAACATGTTATGTTCACCCCACCAATGCGTCGACAATTTGGTTGAGCAGTCATATTTGGAGCCCATATACCAAAAAAAAATGTTTTTTAAAAAGTACTGAAAAAACGTCATCTCTCAAAAAGTACAAGGCTTTGATCAGTCAAATTTGGAGGCAAGACTCGCAACCCCTGACTCGCTCAATAGAGATGAGAACTTCAACTTTTGTGAAGAGTTTTATATCTGTGTTTATGGAAAATCTTCAAAAAACATAAAAAACGCCACATTTCGAAAACTAAAAGCATTTCAGCAGTCGCATTCGTACGCAAGATTAGCAATTTCTGAGAGTACCCACACAGTACCCAAGTACATGCTTGGGATTTTTGAATCTGTTTTCAGAAAACTTTTTAAAAAGTCATAAAAGCTTAATTTCTCCAAAACTGCAAAGATTTCAGCAGTCATATTTGGGGGCACGATTCGCAACCCCTAAGAGTACCCTGACAGCCGACTAGAGAGTTGTGAATTGCAAATTTTGTGAAAATTTTTAAATGCAACTTTTCCGAAAATTTTTGAAAAATCACAAAAACCGTCGTATCGCAATCTTAAAGGATTTAGGTATTCATAATTGAAGGTCACACTCACAGCCCCTGGGGAAAACCTGACACCATCCCACTATTGAGTTGCTAATTTCAAATTTGGTAAACAAACAAAGAATTCAAACTAGAAAATTGAAGGAAAAATTTCGAACCATTGCAATATACGATATAGTTTGCCGTAAAAACATTCTTTCGTTGAACATGCCAAAATAATACGTTGAAAAAGCTTAAACATGGCGAGATAGTGAGGCCCGCATTTAATTATATAGTAGATAATAGATAAATAGATTCAATCGGCCAATTGATTTTTCTTCAAACAAAGTCGGCTTTTTCCTGTTTTGTATGCAGAAAATTGTGCAATTGCATACATTATATTTTCTGGCATCAATAGATGTCAAAAAGTGACCATGTTAACGTGCTTACCTCAAAGCAATCACCGCCCACACATCGGGGAAAAAAATAGAAAATTGATTTAATTTTTCAAAATTTTTTTTCTCGACACTCAAACAAAGAAATTTCAGTCTGCCAATTGATTGCGACCTATATACATTTCAAACATCTGCTCGCGTAGGGGTGAGATTGATCTGGAAAAAAAAACGGTTAAAATTACCCTTCAACAGAAGTTGATGATATGAATAGTTTTTGCGCAAGCAATAGAGTAAAAATTGGACTCTTCATAATGCAGAGGAGAGAATATTTCAAGAGATTTCCAGAAAAACATGCACAACATCAATAATCACGTGTTTCAAGTTTAAAATCACTACAAAATTTTTTATCTTCTTGGATCAAAACTCAAAAAAAATGCATACCTCTTCATAAAAAACACAAGCCAAGAAACAAAATCTCACTTTTAAAACTAGACATTTTGAAAAAAAACTAACGCAGATGTATCGAAAAAAAAAATAAATTCCATCAGGCCTGCATCTAGGATTTTCTTAAGGGAGGGATGTGTCGGCGAAAATTTAAGAAAATTCTACCATTCTACCTTATGCCAATATACCCTAGGCGAATGTACCCTGTGCTTAATTTCCCCAAACTTAATTTTATCTTTACTCAAATCTAGTGTTAGGGACAGTATGGAGGTGTTTCGTCTTTTGAGTCGTGCAGACCATCTGTTTCTTGAATATGTTTTTGATTACATGATTCTTTAATCTCAAAATTAATGATTCTTTGATCTCAAAGTATTCTATTTCGGATTCATCGATTAAAAGGCGTATGTTTTAATTGCTCTAATTTTAGGATAAAAAAGCGCAGGGCAGTGGGTAAATTGGACACAGACACGAACACTGGCGCTTCGCAAACAATGGCGAAAACACTGGCCAAAAAGCAGCTCTAGCAAGTGACATAAGAAAAAGTAGAAATAAACCTCGAATTTGCAAAAACTTGAAGCTTAGCAAAAACTTGCATTTGCAAAAATCTGCGACCTAGCAAATTTGAGTCTCATGCACTAACCATTCAGCAACGGATGCTTAAAATCCCCAAAAAGTAGCCACTAATAACGCAGCTACATATGCTAACATATGCAAAAGTAGCACCAAATACAAAAAGATACAACTTTGCATGTAATAAATTGCGAACCATAAAGCCAAAAAATTGCGATATATATTGAGTAAGAAAATTTCTGAAATCGAGATTTGATTACTGTTGTTGTTTGAAACTAACAGCTTTTTTCGGTTCACTTGATGCATCAACGGTGTAAACTTAATAATTATTCGAACGTTAAAGCACAGGTTATCAATAAGCTGTAAAGGTGCAACAAAAAGGCTGTCATGCCAATTCGATGGAGCAAATATTGTTACTTCAAGTCGCAACAAAATTTGCCACTAGTCGCAACAAAAGTGGCAACAATATTTGGGAATTAGTTCGAAAAAAAGTTCGTACTATAACACTTTGCTTCGCAATTGTAAATAGGGTCGAATGTCACGAAGCCATTTAGAACACACTCAGTTTGCATCACAGAATACTAAGTAGTCGCTCGATCAGCATTACTGTTTTATAAGTAAAAATTATATCAACTAGCATTTAAAAAAATCACACAAAATACAATTGTTGTCAAAATTATTATATCCAAAGCATAGTCCTTTCTCATATTTCACAATTTGGTGGCTACCAGAATACGTTTGAGCCATTACAGTTTGGCGTGCAATTGATCATTATTTATGTAATTAAGATTTTCATTTGCTTGTTAAGTGCTTGATTTCTCAATTATTGAATTTTTAAAATCTCAGAATCGATTATGATTTTCGTATTGTATTTCTGAGATATAAACACTATCAATATTATGCTAGTAAATAAATTTGGATGTTTTCAAACTTTTAATCTAGCCGAGATTGATGCTACACGAGCATCCATCTTTTTCACGATTCCTCCTACCATTGTGCGTCACTTGTATTGCAAATGGCTTTTTTTTCACTTTTTCAGATTTTGACACAATGCAGGTTACGATATATACAGGTTAAAACAGCATGGCGCTGAACAACTAGCAAAAATGACTTCCAGCTATGCTACATTTGAAACATATGATCAAGAAGAACGAAGTTTTTTAAGAAGTCCCATTAGTGTTGAATTTGCACATTCAAAAAATTGGCGCCAGTAACTAATCAATTTCATATATAATACCGGCAATTTAAAGAAACAAGATATTTGGTAAACAAACCGACGAAATCAAAGACGGCAGCCAATAACCTGAAATTCATGTACTGTCTATATAGTATCCATGAGTGCCATTTTTGTACTGAAGGCAAGATGGTAACTACCGAAAACTAAACAAGCATTTCGGAAACTAAACCTAGAGCTTAGTCGACAGCAATAAAGCCAAAAAAAAGGAAACATCGAAATTCTATAATTTCACAGACAAACAGATCTATCAAAATGTATAAAGATAGTTATAGAAAAAAACATGCCCAGACAAAAGAATGCAAAATTAGCATCGATAAAAAACGTAGTATGCAGTTAACAACTCCCTTCTACCTCAAAACAAACACACGCACACGAAAAAACTGTCAAAAAAGAAAACATTTATAAAAATTTAAAATAGAAAATCATATTAAAAACCAGCTGCACAAAAACTCTGGAATTCAGTTACCTGCAACATACGAATTATTAAAGTCGACATTCTGAAACAATAAATATTGCTGTGTTCAAAACTTTGCGCTGCAGTAGCTAAGCCGACATAAGTGAACAGACACACGGTAGTTCAAAAATGAAATGTTGCAGCAGAAAATTTCCTGGTCGCAAAATTTCAATTTTTAACCAAGTTGAGCCAACAACCTATGTCGTCTTTAATCCACTATTGGGACGACAAATGTCATTGGTTCAAGTCCCGTGAGAACTGTAATTTTGCTAACTGGAAGTTTTTTTTGTTGTAACACGTCATTTTATAACTACAGCAAAAATATTCCAGTTGGTGAAACTAAAATTCCTGACCGAACTTGAACCAATGACCTTTGTCGTCCCCAAAATTTGTAACTTGAACTTGACATGCTTATTCAATTGAGGTGCAAGAAAAGTCCTGTGAACAAAGTTTCTAATAGGAAAAAAAACTAGAACCCGGTTGCAATACCCTTGATAGTTGTACAGGTATATTTAGCATGCGATGAGACCTTCAAAAGCTGTCTACAGCAAAAAAAAACGCAAGTATCCTTTTATAAAACACTTGCTATGACAACTGTAACAATATTGCAAATTAGCAATGTTATGTATTTTATGCGCAGCCATGGCTAATGGGGCTAAAAAAAATCCGCCCATTCATCCAACGATTATGGGACGAATAAAAATCAAATAGGAGCTTCAATATTTTTGCAAAAAAACACACTGCTGATGAATAACTACTGCAAATATTACTTACTTAATTTTTCTCCAAACTTTTCCCATTCACTCGACAATTAACATCAATTAGATGAGTTGGTAAAAAATTAGAACGTTAATTCGAAAGCAATGAAAGATTAAAGAAAAAACAAAAGCAACGAAAAATTTCGAACTATTCTCTCGTTAAACCTTTAAGTCAATAAAGTTTTAATGCCATCAGAAAATGAAAATATTCACGTGTGGGCTGATTGAAAATAGAGCGCGTCAAAAGGAAAATTTAACGAGGCAGCGAAACGCGTCAAATTTAGTTATAAAATGTAAATAGTTAAGTTATAAATGGTAACGGGAATGGGAAGATTCTTCTTGTGGACAACTAACTGCTTTCGATCAAGCCATGCTAATACTTTTTTATTTGGAGTTCAATTCACGCTGTATGTTTGGAGTTTGAAGACGGTTGTAAACAGGTCTCCAACACAACAACTGGAAACGGTTTGTACCCTGAGCTAGCAGAAATCCAAACAATACTGTGCTCAGATTCAGAGCATTCGGGCAACGGTTTCCCTATTTTGGGGTATTTAGAAAAGGCTAATTTTAATTCTAGGACATTTGGAAACTCTTTCCAACACAGGGTAAATTAAACCACTCAATCGAAGAGCGAAGGGGAACTTGGGTTTTATTCCTATCGCAGCTGTATTGAGACGATAACAATATTGGAGGCTAGCAAAGATATTATAAACAACAAACGGATCAATTCATTTATAGTCAAGTTTCCGCTTAAACTTGTCTTATACTTCGTAAGGCAGTATCTTCAATTTTGACTTGTAAACTTAGAGAATCATTGAGAAATGGCTATAATGCCACTTGGCACTGAAATTTGTATACTTTCGAATAAATGAAGTGGCACGCGACGGTTTTCTGGCAGCTTTTATTTCAGGTTCAGACTAATATGTTTGCAACGGGTATTTATATCTAAGGAGTCAAATGAAGCTCTGTCAAATGCCACCTGAAGGCATGGACACTTTTTCCCAATCGAATTGAATTTAAATCTGACTGAGCCATGAATAAAAGTTGACAGTTCTTCGATCTATGAAAAAAGAAACTAAACTTTAATTGCAAATATTAAAAATAAATACAAATGGAGGATTTTAGCATCCAGAAATACGCATTTTTATTTGAAAAATCATAAGAAAATTTTTGAATGAAAACGGACTTAATTTTTGATATTAACTGGACAAGCAATATATGGAATTTGCTTTTATATCCAACCATCGTAATCACTCGATGGTACTGCCTATCGAACGAAAACGAAAATGAACGTAATATGACCTCAAACCAATCCAGTGTTTTTTTTACTTCCACTACTATATTTTAAATCCAAATATACAGAGCAGTAGTACGCTTTGAGCCATATGCATTCGCAATAGAGAAATATGCTCAATATTGCACCAAAAACAGAGCTAGATTCATCTACTTCAATTATTCAAAGCTTTCTTCTTTATTGCTAGAGGAGATTGAAAAAGCAACATAGTAGAGGCTGCAATTCAGTGTACAAAACCAAATGTTTCATTGTCGCAAAAGAAATTCAATTGAAAAGCAAAATGGACAATAAGGAAGTAATTTTTCAACATTTTTTTCAGCCGTTTTTGTCAATGTGACTAGCAAGCAGATCTCATGAAGAGTGAAAACAAAAAAAATAACATGCGGGTACTGTGCAAGCAGCAGAATGTCCCGAAACACTAATCATTGTCAAGAAATTTATACTATACTGTCAAGATGCTTTATGAATTTTCTTAAGCCGTTTTTCGGTTAGGGTAAGGTATAAAATTACATTATAAGAATCCAGTGAGACTATTTGAAGATTTCCAAATTTGGTGCTACCTCCATGGACAGACGCTTGTGGGCAATTTTCTATGTCTCAAATTAAAAAACTATTAATGTTCCCACCATTGAAAATGGGGAAGAATTTTGTATTCGGGCGTGTTTTAGTTTTATTTTGTATTCCCTCAAACTCAGGTACCACAAATAATCGGAACGGATCTAGATAACAAATTGAAGCTCATTCAGTCGTCATTTGAACGATGTTCAAAAAACTTCAAAACAAGCCCCAATTTCGATAAAAACTGGTTTGAAATTTCGAGCAAGCAACGCTCATTGCGCTAAAAAATTTGAGTTTTTTTTAGAAGAAAACTTTTTTGACGTTTAATTTAGCGTTCAATTAGCAAAAAGAAGGTTTTCATAAAACATTTAAAGTATTGACAATTTATAAAAAAAATGTCCATTTGCTTATTCGTTATTCATTTTTTGAAAACAAATGTTGTCCACCATGCCTAATTCAATAATTTTCTACGCGATCGTATAGTTCTCAAATCACACCACGCACTAAAAACAGACGCTAAGTTAAAACGTTTAGAATTTTAGATAACTCGTGAAAAACCGCATATATAGAAAAAAAGGTCTGCAACTTTGAGTGCACTTTGACAGCACCCAGATTCTTAATTTCAAAATTTGTTAAGTTTATATCTGCGATTTTTTTTTATTAAAACTTTGAAAAACCATAAAATTTTGTAATTTTTACTGGATAATTTCTTTGAAAAATTTAAAAAACATAAATAGTGTCACAACTTAGAAACTGAAACCTGGAAACTTAAAGCATTTGAGCAGTCAAAATTGGGCGCAAAATTTGCAACTCCTGAGAGTACTTTCAGAGTACCCAACTATAGGGTTAGGAATTTCAAATGAGAAAAACAAATTGAAAAACCATAAAAACGTACAATCTCGAGAATTACAGACACTTGAGCAGTAATATGTAGAGACGAGATTCGCAGCACCCTCGAGTACTCTGACAGACACCACCTACAACGTTGAGAATTCCAAAATTTGAACAGAAAAAAGTAATTTCACGTAAAAAGTAAATTTTGTGAAAAAACTACAAAAAACGTCATATCTCGAAAATTAAAAAAGATTGAGCAGTCATATTTAGAGGCAAGATTCGCAATCCTCGATAGTACTCTGGCAGCACCTAACACAAGCATTGGGAATTTCAAAATTTGAAGAAAAAAACTTAAATTCAAGTTTTCTGAAAATTTTTTTGAAAAAATCGCAAAAAAAGCCATATCTCGAAAACTACAAAGATTTGAGCATTCATCTTGGGAGGCAAGATTCGAAACCCTGAAAACCTTTTGACAGCCCCCATTACAAGGAAAAGCGCTTCAAATTTAAATTACAATATGGCGAAAAAAATTCAGCTTGCTAAAATTTTTTTGAAAAAAAAAACAAAAAAACGTCTTATCTCGGAAACTAAACAGATCTGAGCAGTCATATTTGGATGCAAGATTTACAGCCCCTGAGAATATTCTGGAAGAAGCGCCTCTTTATCAGGAGGCGAATTACAAATTTTGAAAACAAATTAAATTTAAGTTTTCTGAAACTCGTCATATCTCGAAAACTTAAAAGAATTTAGTAATCATATATTTTGGAGGCAAGATTCGCAATCATTGAGAGTACTCTGACAGCACCCAAATAGAGAATTAAGAATTTCAAGTTTTGTAAATTGAGTTTTCCGAAACATTTTTTAAAAATCAACAAAATCTCGTACAGTATAAGGATTTGGGCATTCATAACTGGAGACCAAAGTCGCAACCCCTGGAGAAACTCTGACAGCATCCCACTATTGTGTTGCCAACTTTTAATTCGAAGGAACAAACACTAGATTCAAACTATAAAATCGAAAAAAATTCTTAAGCGTTGCAATATACGATATAGCTTAACCACGCATAGATACGTAATGCCCTTAACTGTTACAAAAAAACAGTTGGAAGGAAAACAATTAATGTACCTTGGTAAATTTGAAGCGCTTTCGTCAATATGACATCATCAGCATTAACTCTGAAGTAAGTTGGCTTTGTAAACAGCAAAGAAAATTAAACAAAAATAAGGAGGAAGAAATGAAAAAACAGATAATTCTCGGAGAATCCGAAACAAAGAAAAAAAGGCGCGCAGCTACAGCCGCAACGTGAGCTCGCTATGGCGGTACTTGTCCCTGGCATTCAGCTGTGGGTTCTTCATCGCAATATGCAGAGCTACTAACGTCAACAGCTTCGACTTGTCGTTGGCGGAATCAATTATCTTGGCGTCAATGTCTGTAGGGGCAAGACCACATTCGATGAAATGGCTGCCAACCCGCGCTGAAGGTTACCTGTGTTCTCCGAGTCGTGCCATTAGATGCCGGCAGGTTTGGCCAACATAGCTTGCGTTACAGCTAGGACAGTCTATTTGGTACACGACATGACTCTTCAGCTCTGAAGGGAACGGTGACTTGAGAGAAGGCAAACAAGTCTTTAGCTTGCGGGTGGTAAAGATAACACTCCCATTTGTGCTCTGAAGAACGCGTTTGGAAAACTTGTCAGAGATGAGACCTCTGTAATGTAGTACCAGAACAGGGCGCTCTTTATTGGCGGTTCTTTCTGTTGGAGTTTCAGCGTTCTCGGGCTGACCACAGATTATTTTCTCAAGTGTCTTAGGCAAAAGAGGTTGGTAAAATTCGGGCGGGTATTGATTCCTCTAAAGCATGGCAAGATACGTGTCACAAGCAATTAAATATAGTATAGATAGATGAAAATCTTTTTGCGAATATGGTAGGCGCATTCTGAGCAATTGGTACAGCAACCGGCTTTCCTTGTTATGAGTTAGACAACAGTTGCCACACAAAGGAAGAAAACAGCAGCAAAATCTAATTATGTGATTCCATCGGTAACCGGAATCGAACCCTTGAACACACAAAGCTCCCTCTTTTGGTCGACAAATCTCAAAACTTTCTAAAGGCGCCAAAAAACGCTAGGTTTTATTTAAAAAATGCCCAAAAACCGCACTTCTGACCTGTGCGGCGCAAAAAAATTAAAATTCTGTCAAAACAGGGTCATTATAGTGTTCTGGGAGCGCTCGGAAAGAGAATTTGCTCGACCTAAAAAAAAGCTCGGCAAAATTTTTCAAACATTTTCGAAAGTCCTATCTATATTAGCGACGGATTCAGACTTTTTTTTTAAGATTGTACCAAATTTATAAAACTGCCCAATATCACCTTGGTTATCAGGAGAAATTGAAAAAAATACCTTTAATGTTTCAACCTAAGTTAACAATGTTGGATTGATCTTTGGGAATGAATGTCGTCATAAATCACTCTGCCGCTGAAAAAATTCTGAAAAACAAGCATTCAAGACTGATTTTTTGACAATAATAAAAAAAAAATTCAAAAAACTCAAATTTGAAAGATTTCATCACAGCCGTTGGCTTCGTTTTTGTAACATAACTTTTCTTCCACGTCATTTCAGTGTTTGGATGTTTCCACGAAATGCTTACTAAAGATTGCAATTTTGTCAAAATATTATATTTCACGCTATTTGTATGTTTAAAGAAGTCAATTCACAAAAACGGCAATTTGAGCCAGAACAAATTTTAAGACTTTTCCTGGAAATAAAAACGAAAAAAAAATCACGACCTATATTAAAGTCTGCACTACTTTCATTGATTTTTTATTTAAAAAATACTGCAGTTATTATACTTTGAATTGAACTTCAGTGTTTACTTTTTGGCCGCTGGAGTCTAAATAGCTAAAATAATTGCAACGAACGTTGTGGATTTCACTTTTTTCGAGAGCCATATGTATTTCAGGTTTAAACTTTTTAAAAAAATTGTTGCTTGTTTAGTTGCTATTTGGGTTTTTATATACCAGATAATTGATTTTTCGAAGCTCCACACCTGTGTTAAAATTTTTATCTGTGTCGAGAAAAGGTAGTTGGTTAGTTGGTATAATTTTGGTTCTCAAAATTATTTGAGCATCAGTCATCTTTTGCTTTTTTTTCTCAACGCTGAGATTAAAAAAAAAACACAGATGTGAAGCTTTGCTTCACATGCGAAAACAAAAATATCAAACATCTGGTATCCAAAATAACAAAAACGGCAACTAATCAAGTAGAAAAGAATCAAACTCAAAAACCTGAAAAATACGAGCCTCTCGAAAAAACGAGGGCTAAAGAAATTTTTGTTGCAACTATTCCAGCTATCTAGAAACCAGCTACAAAAAAAAACATACTGAATTTCATTTTAAAAATATTATATCTGCAAAATATTTCATCAGAAAATTATTCGAAGAAACCTATTTTTTCAACATAAGAACTCTTTCAACGTGCTATATCAAACAAAAATTGTTCAAGTTCTCATTATTTAGGCATCACTGCAGTATTGGTCCTCGAATTCGAATTACGAAAGACCATAGCCATGTCACCAAATTAACAAAAAAAAACTAACAAAAAAAATCATGCATTAACAAATTAACAAAAAAAATCCTGCAAAAAAGCAAACATATAACAAGATCTTTGCACACAACTGCA